GCACATAAGGACTTTACATCAACAAGTAAAGTCCTTATGTGCCAGTACAAGTACGGAAACAGTACTAGTTTTCTTTATTTATTTACTTAAAAAAAACTTTGATTTTAAATCATGATATATAATTCCACTTACAAATAATGTCATATAATCGATTCGTCAGTTGCAACTAACAAAGGTAAGGCAACACCATGAAATGTTTTTATTTAGTTATATTAGGTTATGTGTGACGGTGGTTTAACATTAATTTAGCAAGTATGTTCCGGATATTAATTCAGAATTCATTGCAAAAGTTTTTAACTGATTGGAAAGCTTTGGAAAAAGCTTATTGAAATTCAGTAACAAACTTGAAAAAATCACGGAAATTTTTTAGCCTAGTCTGAAAAATATTTTGCTTTGTTGAAAAAAACCAAAGCAATAATAATAATTATATCAAACCTGAAAAACTAATAATTCTAAGAGATTGTGTTTTGCTTTTCATATATTTAGTAGTTAAATTTTTTTTATCGAAAACTTTTGGCAACTAAAAGTTCTGAAAAATAAAGATACAGATTTTATGGCATAAATATGTAGTTTTTGTGATACTCCTTTTTTGGGAAAAGAAACTATATAGTTCTGCGATTATTTATACTGCCAAATTCTAGGATGCATTTCAAACAGGACTCACTTGAATGTGTTGTTGTTGTCGTTAATTTGCGTCGCACTAGAGCTGCACAATGGGCTATTGGCGACAGTCTGGGAAACATCCCGGAGGATGATCCGAAGACATGCCATCACAATTTTGATCCTCTGTGGAGGGGATGGCACCCCCGCTTCGGTAGCCCGACGAACTGCGCGCGAAGTCGAGCACTTTATGGTAGCACGGTTTAACGAGGACCAATACCGCACACCCTCGGTCCCTACGTAGACTGATCCAAGTGGTTACTAAACCCGCACACTGACCGTAGCCAGTGATGCTTGACTTCGGTGATCTGCTGGGAACCCACTTGAATGTGAGCGAAGTGAGTTTGGTTCGCAAAACCAATCATGTAAGTCTATATATACGTACGCTCAATCCCCCAAAAATATAAGTGCATCTTTGGAGGCTTGTGGGAAAGAGATAAAGAGTAAGAGGCTGTGCCCACTAGTAATAAAATAATCGGTACCTTTTTATCGCACTAATAAATGATACCAATTAACTTTTCAAAGTTAATTGGTATCATTTGTAATCTGCTTTTCTCCGAGGAATAAAAATAATTGCTGCGCAATCATGGGATTTGGCTATCGAGGTGAAGTTGGAGTCAAGCGGTGACCTCTAGTCAATATAATATTATTAATAATAATATTAATAAAAATTTCTAATTCATGTCTCCTTTGGGGGTGGAAATATCTTTTATCCTGATTTGCCCCTCTCAGCCACGTGGTTTTTCTTTCTCTGTTTTTCTTTTATGTTTATTTTTTCTCCCGGCTACTGATATTCTTTCCAGTTTTGTCACCTGTTTTTGTTGGCAATTTTATGTTTTATTTTTCAAATCTCTTTTGTTTCTTCTCATTCAAGCCTGCAAGTCTTAAAAATGGGCTCCTATTTTTGAGCGCTCGAGACTTGTCTGCTGTTTCTTCCAATCTGTTTATTTTTGAAGTAAAAGAAGTTTTTTGGGCAAATAATAATATTTCAATTCAACGTCTTGAAAATGCATTCGGGTTTAAAATCAACCTTAAGTTAATGTTCATGAAACTTAAAATTAATCCTGCTCAATAAGTTTAATTATTTTTTATAGCTCTTGAAAAAGAAAAAAAATAATAATAGCTCAATTATATGTTTACTTTCCTTATTTTTTGAAATCGATAAGAAAAGATTTAAAATTAGGAGTGCTACAAACAAGAAATTCGTATCGTTAGAAGAGTAAATATTTGTAGTTTCCTAATTGACACTTTGATATAACTGGTTATTTTCTCAAAGAATTTATGCGTGATCTCGTTTTTTAATGATGTTTACTGTTCGAAATACAAATAATAAATCAAGAAGATTTGCAAAATATAATCGGAATCGTTCATGGTAATTCATGGTACTTTTAAAAATAATTCACCAGTATAAAAATGAGACATTTATTGCCGACGATTCAGCATTCTTTGAACTCTGTTTTGTTATTGTTCACAGTCAGCTTGTCTTTAAATCAAATAATTTTTGAAGAAGCGTGAAATCTTAAAATATTTATCGAAACTGCTCCTTTTTTTCGTGTACCATGTAATTTTTTTTCTTCTGAAAAATCATTTAAAATTTATATTTCATTTTATAACCGATGGTTCGGGCACTCTCAATGCGCACTCTTCTTAAGTTCGATCTCGAGGCTCGATTCCCGATAATGGCTGAGTACTCACTTTTTCATACTTTTTTCATAATACTTTGCATTTTCTAATCAAATGTGCTGCATTAAGCTTAATGCTTTGGAAGAAATTTATATCTCCAAACAAGGGAAGATGGTAATAGACAAAATGGCTTTTTAAGGAAACGCTTCCTCGGAGCATTTTCAAGAAAACACTTTTGTCAATATCGAAAAAAACAAAAAAAATCCCGTATGTACCTGATTTTACTAGGGACAAGTAATTAAAAAAAATATCAATATAATCGACTCTGATCTATATGAAAATAATTACTGTGAGTATTTAACAAATTATATCTGGTTTCCAAGGCACTAATTGCTTGATCTATAGTGTGAAAAAAAATCTATTTTATATTTTGTTTGAGGTCTTGAACGGGTTCATCCGGGCCCTCATACAAAAACGTTCTTGTTTTGCTTCTGACACGATGACGTGGTGTGGTGGTTTCGAAATTAGCTTCCA